ATCTTTTCGGGTACTTTGTTGTTGTACTGAGTATCAAAGATATTAGCAACTTTTACTCTCTACTTCACTACATTTTTGAATGAGTATCTGTACTCTTTACTCCACTACATTTGAAATGAGTGTTGCAGTTACACATTACATTTTGCATGGACCTAGCTTTTTCTGCAGCAGTTTATTTCTGCTACAAAAGACGTGATACTGCCTGTTACAGGAAATTACTGCATCTTGTGCGTTTTGCCCTTACTCGCCCAGACTTGTAAACAAGGCTACTTTATGTGAATGCGAGTTCCTTAGCACGTATTTGTGAATCACAGGTGTTTTATATATGTGACCCTGGACCACAAAACCAGTCTTAAGTGTCAATTTTTCAAAATGAGATTTATACATCAACCTGAAAGCTGAATAAATAAGATTTCCATTGATGTATGGTTTGTGACGACATGACTGCAGCCGGCAATGAGGCCCAAACCAGCATATCCACTGCAAGAAGGCTTTGGTTTTTAATTTTACTTAACATTATTTGATCTATCCTTTTTGAAAGATATTGTTGTTGTTGTTTTTGCAATTTTGAGGTGCTCAGTTTTATTTTTGTTTTAGAAAATAAACATAATTGTTCTCCTCACAAATCAACTCTTCCTTGCATTTGTTACGTTTTTCTGTGCCTGACCCTGGACTTTTATGTCACTTCCTGTCTCCCGTGGTGTTTGTAGTCAGTTTGTAGTCCGTTTGTTCATTGGATCCCCATTGATTATTCTCCCCAGGTGTGTCTTGTTATCTTGTTAAGCTTGTTAGCACCCTGTGTATATATAGCCCTAGTGTTTCTTTAGTTTAGTTGTTGAATGTAATGATTGTTCTGTTCTTTGTTTCCTGTGGTTTTTGTCTTATTGTTTCTTCTAGTTATTCTATCCTTGCCTCTGCCTGTTTTCCCCAGCTTCTCCACAACATTACAGTTTTTCCCTATCATGTCTTTTTGACTAGTGCATTTTTGAGCCTATATTTATGATAAGTAAAATACTTAAGTACTGTTAAAATCAGATACTCTGAGACTTTTACTCAAGTTGTTTTGGAATTGGTGACTTGTAACTCGTAGTGGAGTAATTTTCACTGTAATGTATTTGTACTTTTACTCAAGTATGGTTTTCACATACTCTTTACACCTCTGCCAGGACGTCCAGCAGGGGGCAGATTACTTCAATGCAGATTAATTCAATAAATAGTTGTTGCATTTTTGCCTGTGCCCTTTCCTGCAAAAATTTCTGCATCCTTTATCATCCATATTTAATTTGCTGTAAATTAATACAGCTTAAAAAGTCATTATTTTCACATGCCTATTGGGCACTAAAACAATACACAGAACATACAAAAAAAGAATGTTAACAAAAGGTATTTTACTTTCTTTAAAGACGGTTGGCCTACTAGAAGACTTCATTATGGGTAAACCAAACACTAACTTTCATCAGGTAGCTTGTTCTCCTTCTCATCGTGCGCCATCTGCCTGCACCAGCCCTCCATACGTTCAGTCTCTGCCTGCAGCAGCTTCAGGAACCAGCGGCCATCACGCTGACACACCGAGCGGCCCACGACTTCCAAGGGATCTTCCGTTACGCTATCGATCCAAGGGTCAGGTGGAGGCAGGATGGAGGGATCAAAGCCAACGTCCTCATACTCATCTGAGGTGCAGGCGTGGTAGTGATTCCCTGAGCCCTGGATGCTGACGGTGGAGGTGGCGGCATCACGTGAGTACTGCCGTGACAAGCAGCCCGAGGAGGGGAAATCTGTGACAGGAGAGTCAGCTGGTGTGTAGTCCGGAGTGTCCAGATCAGCCTGTACCGCTGCCGTCACGCTGTTTGAGCGCTTGAACCGCCGGTGACTGAGCCCAAGAAAACAAAAAAAAAGAAAGGTTTCATTCAAATGTAGATAAAAACACAACTCATACATACAGTGACCGCACACTCCTCTATGAAGAAAATGGTTTAAATTTCTGTGTTAATATTAATTTAGATATTTTGGAGGACATAAACCATTATCATTATTATACAGAAATCATTATTTAAATATAATGATTCAATAAAACTATGAAAATTATTTTATTAAATTGTTTTAAAAATGTATTAAATTTTATTAACATTATTTTTTTTTTTCATTATCATGTCCAAGTATTCTTATATACCACTGACTCATAAGCAGTAGTCACAGGTTCTGTCTACATAGACATCATGTATACCACAAAATGAACTTGTTTGAGATGCTCTTGTTGGCACAAACATCATTAACAGCCATTAATTTGGCAGACAAATTGCAGCACTCAAGTGACCTGCAAAAGAGACTCATTTAAAGCACACAGCTAGTGATAATTTTACAAAATGATGTAGCAAACATGAAAATTGCATAAAATAATGCATCTTTTAAAGCTTATTTCCTGTCAACACTTTTCAGTAATGAAATAATAAACATTTAAACTCTCCTTTAGTTTTGTTTCATCATTTCTGATGAAACTGTTTTGCTAAGCTTGTCAATGAATTGAGGGATTGCCTTATCGAAAAAAAAACAACAAAAAAAAGTGGTACTTCAAATTTAGGCAAAAATTAGGCCGCATAATCTGTTGTCTACAATTTGCAACATCAGGAGCATGTCTATGGTGCCTAAAAATACTGTCTAGCTAGGCAGTTTTGAGAAGAGCCATAGTGTGTCAGCTTTAGCGCTCTGGGATAATCCTGTCCCTGCTCAATAAGTTTAATAAAGTGAAAGTTTCTCCATAATACAGAGTTTCTTAATCCTTGATTTTAATGCACTCTCTCGCCATATGCAGCGTGCAATATAACAGCTGAAGAGGATAAACAATACTTTTCAGAAAGCAACAATATGAACTTTGAACCACTGCATTCATCTGTAGATTGAAGCAATTTGATAAAACACACAGATCAGACACATTTTAGACCAAGATAATTAATTGAGAGGAAATGGAGCAGTAACGGACACAAAGAGCAGATGATGACGGGACTTGTCATTGATAATTTTGGATTTTTTGGAAACTGTTGATGTAACAGTCAGCATAATGACCCATAACTGCAATGGTGTAGCCAAGTATAAAAGAACGGAGTCACCAAATGTGAAATATTTTATTTTCGTTTGTTAAGAAAAAAAATCAATATTGACCACTAATATGAATATTGTGGGAATCCTCAATGTCTATGATTGTTTCAGCCCTGAATCACTGGATGCTAATTTAACAAACAGCACAGATTTACTGTGTTAGATACATTTTTTTTTTGAGAGAGAGAAATTACTTTAGCACATTTATTTATCAAGGATGCATAAATAAACGCTGTTCAACATTCAACATCAAAAAACCTAAAAAAAGATTTCCACAAAAATATCAAGCAGCACAACTGTTTTAACATTGATAATAATAAGAAATGTTTCTTAGGCACCAAATCAGCATATTAGAAAGATTTCTGAAGGATCACGTGACACTGAAAACTGGAGTAATGGCTAAAGAAAATTCAGATTTGCCAACACAGGAATACATTACATTTTATATATACTTAAATAAAAAGCTATTTATAAATAGTAAATATATTTTATAGTATTACTAAAGTGAAAGTGACTCTATTTGTTCCTAAACCAGTTGTTTTATGGGCACACAAGCACACACAGACTCACCCGTGCTCTTCTTCAACCTGAATCCCCACTGACTGAAACTTGGACTGGTCCTCCAGTTCCTGGCCCTCAGGCCCATCCACCTGTTTAAACACATCACACAGTAAACCAGCCACCTCCACAGTCATTTGAAGACTCGTCTACCTCAGGGAGAAGTAAACAAATCTCCAACTCACCCTGTGTGGGTTTGTCTACAGAAATAAAAAGACCAGCTCGGGAAACACTGAACTTGTATGAATATATATTTTGTGTACAGACACCTGATAAACACATTATAGTGGATATTACAACAAAATCTTGTTCTAATAGCCAGCAGGAACATCTCAGCAGCGTTGAGGAGATGAATAAACAATGAGAACAACTCTGAATCTCACTCACCTGGATGCCGATAGAAAGGCACCTGCTCTTCCTGAGCACATCCCTGCGGACGTCTTCCAGGGTCGGTATGGGCATGGGGACGGGCACAGGCATGGCCATGGGCAGCGGAGAGGGAGGGGTAGTGCTGATAGTGACGGTGCTGTTGCAGACGTGTTGACTGACAGGGCCGTGGATCTGAGCGTTGGCTGCCTCGATGGCTGCCGTCAGCGCTTTCATGCTGTCAATGCTCTCGGTGGAATTGCTCAGGCCAGAGTGGAGGACGGGCTCGCCCCGCGTCCCGGGACCGTCCATGTAAGCGTCCTGCGCAGACTCAGTGCTGCTCTGGGCCGTGATGGAGATGAAGGGCTTGGTGGAGGTGCGAGGAGGTACCGGCGGAGGAGTCTTCTTGTAGGTGGTGATACATGATGATACTGTAGCGAGAAAAGTACACTTATTCATTTCTCAGATGCTTTTATCCACTCAAACTTAAAATATAGATGCATGAAAAAAGTATGTAAACAGTAAAGAGTAAAAGATTAGAATGGAAACAGATATAAGGACAAAAAACTTTTTATATTAAGTGTCAGGATATATTTACTAATTCACCATGGCTGTCTCCAAAAAAACCCCAAAAATCACTATTGACCACTAATTTGAATATTGTGGGCATCCTCAATGTCTATGATGGTTTCAGCCCTGAATCACTGGATGCTAACAGCACAGATTAACATTGTTAGATACACTACTTTTTTTTTTTTTTTTGAGAGAGAAAGAAATTATCAATCATTATCTATGAATTTTTATGCATATTAAACAAAATTTGAGAAAGGACATTTATAATGTGGCAAAATATTTCTATTTTTTTTATTCTATTCTATTCTAAAAAAATAAATAAAAAAAAATCACTACTCTTTAAAAGTTTGGGGTTGGTATGATTTTTTAAAATGTTTTTGAAAGTCTCTTATGCCCACCAAGGATGCATTTATTTGATCAAAAATACATTAAAAACTGTAATATTGTGAAATATTACAATTTAAAATAACTGTTTTCTATTTAAAATACCTTAAAACTTAATATAAACTTGATGGCAAAGGTGAATTGTCAGCAGCTATTACTCCAGTCTTCAGTGTCACATGATCTTTCAGAAATCATTCCAACATGCTTATTTGAAACATTTCTTATTATTGTTTTTTTTTTTTTTTATTTAAAATAAACTTTACTCGCTGGGGT